ATAGATCATATGCTAAGTCATAAAACACATTTTAACAAATTGAAGAAATTTGAACTCATTTAAAATATATTTTCTGAACGAAATGAAATTAAACAATAAAACAGAATTAACAACAAAATTAAACAACAAAAATCAAAGCAAAATGAGAAAATCTACAAACATGGAAATCAACTACTCTTAACCATCAAGTCAAAGAAATATAAAAAGAGAAATTTGAAAACATTGTGAGAGAGATAAAAATGAAAACATAAGTAGTTCTCATAGTTTGAATGTCCTATCCTCTCTGAAACTCATGTTGAAACTTAATCCCCAAATTTATATGTTGATGGTATTTGGAAGTTGGACATAAAGGAGGTAACTGGAATTACATCTGGTCATCAGATGAGATTGCCATGATGGAACTAATGGCTTTATGAGAACAGGAAGAGAGACTGACCTGACACATGCTTTCTCTGGCTTGCCAGGTTGCCCACCACTAATAGTGAGATGGATGTTATGAGCTCTCAATGCCATGCTTTGGGACTTACTAGCCTCCATAACCATGAAGTAGAAAAGTCCCTCTTCTTTATCTACTAATAAGTCTCATGTACTCCTGTACAGCAACAGAATATAGACTGAGACAGTAGTACAAGGAGAGAAGTTTATTGTGATGAACACCTGTATAAGAAAAGAAACAATCCAAATTGAATAGCATAACTTTAAACCATAAGAAATTAGAAAATGAACAAATGAAGCATAAAGTTAACAGAAGGAAGGAAATAATAAAGGTAAGAGAAGAAAAAAATGAAATAGAAAAATAAGAAAAAATTAACAACACTGAGAATAGGTTTTTTAAAAGAGAAAATTCACATACCCTTAATACTAAGCAAAAAAGAGAAAATTCAAATAAAATCATAAATGAAAGTGAAGAAAAGATTCACATAAATAAAATCATAAACAAAAGCTCAGACAATATAAATGATGTTGTAGAAATGAAAAAGATTACAAGGGACCATTATGAACAATTACATAGCAACAAAGAACCTAAAAGTAACCTAGAAGACATAGGTATATTTCTAGAAGCATATAACCTGAAAGGATGAATAAAAATGTTTTTAAAGCCTAAACAGATGAATAACAAATGAGAAGACTAAATCAAGAATCTTCCAAAGATTCTGATTCTGGAATCAGAAACTTCCAAAAAAGAAAAGCCCAGTGCCAAATCCCTTTACAAGTACATTTTGCCAAATGTTTAAAAAATAATAATACCAATCATCCCTAAGCCTGTGCAAAAAAAAAAATAGAAACATTTCTAAATTCATTTCATGAAGACTGCACAACTGGATTCCAAAGCCAGACAAATGCACCATAAGAAAACTATTGACTAGTGTCTCTGATGAACACTGTTACAAAAATCCTCAACAAAACATCTGCAACTCAAATTCAGCCCACATTAAAAAGGTCATTCATAATGGTAAGTATTTATCCTTGGAATGCAAAGATGGTTTAACATATGCAAGCAGTCAAGATGATACAGTATACATCACAATGAAGAATAAAAATAACATTCATTTCAATAAATACAGAAAATGTATCTTAACAAAATTCAAAATCATTTCACAATAAAAGTTCTCAACAAGTTGGGTATAGAATATATTTCAACATAATAAAAGACACATATGACAAACCAACAGATAACACTGTACTCAAAGTTGAACTGAAAGCATTTCCTCCAACATCTTAAAAAAAGCAAGCATGTGGGGGCCAGGATTTACCTCAGTGGTACTGCCCCTGCCTCGCAAGCACAAGGTCCTGTCTTCCATCCCAGTACCAGAAAGAAACAACAAAAAAAGCAAGCATGTTCAGTCTCACCATTTTCATCTACACATTCTTAGCTTGAGTAATTTAACAGGAAAAATTCAAAAACTTTCAATTTGCAATGAAAGAGGTAAAAACACCTTTGCAAATATTATGATCTTTTATATAGAAACCACCATAGTTCCACTAAAAACTGTTAGAACAAGTAAATGAAAAAGTGGCACAATATAATAGCCACACAAAAATGCACCAAATGCATTTCTATACACTGACAATGAACTTTCTGAAAAAGAAATTAATAATCCCATCTATAACATCATAAAAAACCAAAATACCTAGGAATAAATTTAATCAAAGAAGTAAGTTATGTGTACACTGAAAAATAAATGCTTATAAAAGAAATTAGAGCAGATGCAAATAATAGGAAAGATCTCTAATATTGTGGAAATGTTCATGCTACCTGCCCAAACCTATCTACAGATTGAATACAGACTATCAAATCCTAATGGTACTTATTACATTCAAAAAAATCATTTAGAACCATAAAAGATCTTGAATAGTCAAGGAAATTTTGAGCAACAGAAAACTGGAGACATCATATTTCCTGATTTCAAAGAATATTGCAAATCTATGGTTATCAGAATAGTATGGCACTAGCAAAAAATCAGCATGCAGATCAGTGGAACAGAATAGAAAGTTCAGAAATAAAACAAAATATGCATGGTCAGCTGATCTTCAATGAGGGTGCCAAGACTACACAATGGGGTAGGATAGTCATCTCAACAATTTGTTTTGGGAAAACTTGCAAATGAATGAAACTAGTTTTTTATGTTACACAACACAAAATCAAATTAAATGGGTTAAAGACTTAAACATACACCTTAATTTATAAAATACTGGAAGAAAACATAGAGGATACGCTTCTTGACATTATTCTTGGATATGACACTAAAAGGATAGGCAATAGAAGCAAAAAAAAAAAAAAATAGACAAGTGGGACTACCTTAAACTTAAAAGCTTATCCAGAGCACAGAAAACTTTGAATAGAATGAAAAAGCAACCTATAGCGAGAAAATATTTACAGCCACTTATTTAAGAAAGTCAATTCAGGAGATGTAAGAAACACAGCTCAGCAGCAAGGAAACAATCTGCAAATAAATAAAGGATCAGAATATACTTTTTCCTAAAGAAGTCATGAAAATGACTAACTGGCTTATAAAGATGTGCTCAATTACCCTAATTATTAGGAAAATATAAATAAAGCCACAATAAGATATAACCTAACAACCATTAGCAGCTATTATTAAAAAATAAAGATAGCAAGTGTTAGAGAGGGTCTGGAGAAGAAGGAACCCTTCTTGGAGAAGAATAGCTCCTACTGTTGGAGCCATTTTGGAAGATGGTGTGGAGTTCTCTCAAAATATTCAACATAGTACTACCATGTGACCCTCCAGTGCCTCTGTTTGGTGTATAGCCAAAGGAATGAAAATCAACACTTTGTAGAGATAGCTTCAATCCACGTTCAATGTAGCATTAATCCACGGTAGCTAAGATGAATTTGTTGACAGATTACAAGATAATGGGTATATAATACAACAATATAATAGGTATATGTGTGTATATGTCTTTATATATGTATGTATCTATGAATGTATGCATGTATGTATATATAAGTGAATGTCATTCAGTCTTAAAAAAGGAGATCTTGCCAACATAGATGAGCCTTATGGGGACATTACGCTAAATGAAATGAACCAATACAGAAATAAAAACACTACATGAACTCTTATACTGTATTTGAATCCAAAACAAAATTGAACATATGGAAAAAGAGCAGAGAATGTTGGTTCACAGCAGTTAAGACAGGAAATATAAGGGTCAAAGGGTACCAAAATGTAGTTATGTAGAATTAATAAATCTAAAAGATTTATTGTTCAGCATGAAGATTATAATAATAATGTAATTATAATAGAAAAATTATGAATGTATATTTTAGATGCTTTTAGCATACACAAAAGAGATAACTATGTGACATGTTACTTAATTAACTGGACTAAAGAAATTATTTTGTTATGTGTTCACGTCCATATAAAGACATTTATACACATATGAAATTTTGTAATCAGTGATCGTTGTACACAACACAAAAATTCTTAATTGGCTATATGTATTTAAATATTTTTATTTAAATTTGAACATTTATGCCATATTTATAAAACAGATACAGTTTCAGTATCAATTTTTTTACTTTCTGACTTCTACTGCAAATTCTTTGTCTATTCTTCAGTTGCTTGAAGAGTTTTTCTTTGTCAACTTACTACACTTTCATTTCCAAAAATAATAGGACTGGGTAGGGCGTGCATAAAGGGAGAGAATAGTGACTGGGAAAAGGAATATTATCTTTTCCTTCTAAGTGATTTCTAATTTGTTACAGTTTCATCAAAGAATATGTTTCATGGATATTAATTCTTTAAAATTTGAGGGTCATTCCTTGTGCTCTAGTATGTGGGGGTTTTTTCATAGGCACTTCATGTATTCTTGATAAGGAAACCCCTACCTAAAGCACTGCATGAAACAGATAAACTTTCTGTTATAAGCGGGCTTTTCTTTAGCTCAATATTTCTCTAACATATTCTAAAATCTTCAAACATTCAATAATGTATTTGGTAGTCTTAATTCCATGTCCAAGGTCTTCTTATATGCTGTATCTTCTCCAAGCTTTCACTTATGATCCCTGAAGAATTCTCTTACTTTTTGATAAGCTCAGTTCTACATGGGAAAGAACATGTGTTCTATTTTATTCAGCGTATTTAACAGATAATTCTGAGGTTAGCAAATTATTGCCATCAAGAGTAAAGAGAATAAAAAGATTTTATACAAAAATGAATCATTTAATAATGATATTGAAAATTCTGATTGTGTTAAAACATCTAATGTCAAAACTAATAAATTTATTTTATGCTTATTAAATTAGTAAAACTATAAAAGCATTGACAAATCATAGATAAAGCATGTATCTTTATTGGTTATCAGGGATGGCTGTATTTATTTTTTGTTCTTAAAAACTTTATAAAGCCTTTCTCTACTCATCTATTTCCATTTATTGTGTATATGAGAAAAAAATGTAATTCTTACTATCATCCATAATTGCTTTTTCTTTATCTTAATTCACAGGAATGTATCAAAGGGAATTCATCACTTACCAATTTGCTTTCTGTACTGATCAACAGGAAGTTTTGTAGTGGAAGCATCTTTTCTACCCATTTTTGATCTCCAAAATGCCTCCTGAAAAGAGGGAAAAGAATTATAATGAAATTTTTTAAAAAATACTATCTGTAAACTTCAGGAATAATTTATTTCTTAAAATTCATTTTTAAAGCATGAGTAAAAATGCCTTCAGCTTATCCCATTAGATATCCATAAAGAACACAAAATTCTTTCAAATAAATTATCAAGGATGCAATGGCTAGCAATTAAAATCTCCCAATTATTTGTTATTAACATTCATTTTTATCAATAACTATCAAAGCACAGTTAAACCATACTGTTAAACCATACTGTTAGAGCACATTATCTCTAAGTGTGAAAATCGTGTATTATTAATTCAGATGAGCTGGGATGTAGGCATGCTCTCAGTGCCATGCTTCTTTCTAACTACTTGCTACATTGCACCAAAAAGGAAGGCTAATCTTTGAATCTCAAGCAGTTTGTATTTTGTTTTAGAAAGTATGACATTTGTAGCCAAACTGGAGAAATTTTGGTTCTTGTTCTGCCTCTCTTAAAGAATAAATACTACCATTTATTAACATGATCATGCTTACTCCATTGTATGCACTATTTGTTTAATTCTCAATGTATTTTTCATATCCTATTATTTTGATTGAATTTAAATACTCTACCAGGCCCTATAATCTGCTCACCAAATCAATATTCTCTTTGTTTTGCTTTCACTATTACACTCTATTTCCTACCCTTAATTCATATATATAACTGAGTTCTTATCAAAGGAATTTGAATGGAAGTGACGTCACTTTCAAACCTGAGCATTAAAAATTACCAACTATTCTCCTTTCCTCTTCTAATTGGCTAAAATGGAAATGAGCTTCAGAAAAACCTGGAAGATAGTTTTGTGGAAGCATGAAAATTTGGCCAGCCTGGGGGTAAAGATAATATTTTCACTAGTTTGGCATCTTAGTAACCTACCATGAGAAAGGAATGAAATTCTATGTAACTGAGTTATTTGACACTTGTGATTTAGTACATAAACAAGTGTTTGCTAAAATGATAGAAACATTGGTATTCCAAAGTTGTTCCTCACTTCTTTGTGTAAGGTGTTGCAAGCAAAAGATAAAGCCAAGCAAGAACTAATCAGTTCACAAACTTAATATAAGAGAATAGTAACTGGAAAATAAATGAAGTTTTAAAAGCCACCATATACCAATAATTAAATAAAGCTTTAAAGAACAATGGGCCATTAAGACTTCTTGGCAGGAGGGGAGCAGAGATTAAAGGTGTTACTGTATTACATGAGCCTATAGTAATGAGGGGTGGGGAAGGAGAGAAGCTCAGGAGTTTTGAGGCACAGAAACAAAGCAGGTGCAAGACTTACATGTAGGAAAGAAACTGTAGTGCAATTGCTGGCACACATAACTCACTAGAAATCATAAGAAGATTAGTAATGTATGAGGGAACTACATTTACCAAGAAAGCAGAAACTTTGTCTAAAAAAAATCTGTGAATGAAAAATAACCCTTGGACCGCTACACTTAAAACAATAAATAGCACACCCCAAGGAAGGCAAACTCTGTAGAGTCTGTAATATCCCACTTTTTATACAATCAGAAACAAAGAACCATCCAAAGGGCAGAGTCATAGAGAGTAAGTGACAAAAGAGGTCTTTAAAAAAAAATAATTAGGGTTTAAGCAAGAAATTTCTGTGAGTGAGGCTGTGAAGGGTAGGTAAATTTCATAATCTATAAACCTCACAGAACCACATTCCAACTTGAGAGAGAGAACTGTGAATTGGCTGCAGATGCTTGGCTTTGAGATGGATGCAGTAGACATGGAACTCTATTAGGTTCTTGGTATGGGAAGGTAGGAAAAAGGGCATTCATTGCTATTTTTAGGGGCAGAAAGGTGAACCATAGCAAGAACTGTAGACTGTTCACTAAAATACAGGTTTTTCCCCTTTAGGCACAATGGACTACATTTCGAGCTTCCTTGCATACTAGCTGTGAGCACATCACTAATTTTCAACTTGCAAATTATAGAACTGACCTATAAAATATTTCACGTGCACCCATCCATCCAGCTGAAATGGAGATGACCTCCATGGTGACTTAGGAAATTGTGTGATAGAGATAGCAGAGTAGACCTTATGACAGCCTGGATTCTAAATAAGTGCATGGAACAGAGCTGTCCAACCCATTTGTTTTGCTCTTTTATACTATTGTGAGATTAAGACATTAATTTGTATCATTTGAGCCACTTCACATTTGTTACATTTACTTGTTACAGTATTTGTATTACTCTAAAACAAAAATGTATAGATGGGTCCATACACATTGATACAATTACCAAAGTGCAATTTTCCTAGTGAGTATTATTAATCAAATGCCAAATGTATGTGAAATCTGTTCAAATTGAACTACATTATCTATCTACCCATCCTCACAGAGCTAGCTCACACTCATCCAACCCAACACAATAAAAAGCATTCCCACAAATAATTTTATGTTTACATAAGAAAACTAAAAGTTCAACTAAAAACCTACTTTTCTAATCAAAATAGTATTCAATATTATAGTATCACAGCAATATCTAGGAATGTAAAAATGAAGATGACAGGAAGTCAAATAAATTAAGTCTTCAATTCTAACAAATCCTCTTACTTACATCTAACATAAACATCCTTAAAATTTTATAAATGACAAAATTTTTCCCATTCTGTAGGTTGTCTCTTTACTCTGTTGGTGTATATGTACAAATTCCCCATGATGAATGTGATCATTATGGCCAACAAACATGTACAAAAAATACTCTAAAAAATTTTCATAAATGAAACCAAGATATCACACCAAATCCTATAATCTTACTTATTATAATTCAAAACATTAAAAATAAATCTGTCAAGACAAGTAACATAAATAATGTGAATAGATATAATTTATTCACATAATTCCATTTGCATAGTGTCTGCATTTATTAATTGTAGAGTTGTTATTTTAATCTTAATTGTGTGGGGATAGAAAAGATACCATTCCATTTTAGGACAGAAGTTAGTTTAAGTGAATAAACACACAAAATAACAGTCCCTCTTCAATTTAGTTTTTTTCTTTGTCCTGTGAAATATGCTTAACTTTGTTTTCAAAAAAACAAATTACTAAAGTTACCTGACAAAATAGTTATTCACTATGTTTCTCTGTCTACTTCCTGGTCATTTAAACCAAGATCCCAAGACAGAAAACACTTTAGAGGCTCGGATTTTATTCAATGATTACCTATCCTGTAATAAATTTAAAAATAAGAGATCCACTGAAAATATCATTTTACTGAAGGAAACCTCTGAATATATAAATATTAAAAGCATTTCAACCAAGAAAATACATTAAAGAGGGACTGGTTTTCGATATTTGTTCCCAATTATTTCAGTGATTTGTAATATTTACCTAAAATTTCAAAAATTTAACTTTATTCTTGTCTTTACAGCTATTATATTCTATTATTCAAACAAAAAAATTTTTATCAAAAATGAAACAAAAAATGCAGATAGAAAGGAGCTTTCAAAAATCGTTTACATTTCATTAGCTGTAACACAAGAAGGTGAAAAATGTTTTACTAATAAACACATTAAAGCTATTTTAAAATAATCTAAAGAGATACCCATTCAAGTGTACAGTAAACTGCCAATGCCTCAACATCTAGAACCTCTAAAATGTTCTGACATTTCTTTGTTCTTCAAAGCCTTGAAGTAATCATCATTCATTTCTATTGCTTTGATGCTTAGATAGCAAACTCACAAGACATCCAGGGAGACATTAACACATACAGCCGCAATTTCTAATAAGATAGCTATTTGCATAGAAGATCAGCCACAATTTAAAATGTGTTGTGATAGATGTGGAAAGGGAATAACAGATTTATATTAGCATGTACAATACCAAGATTGTTTTCACAATTTAATTCCTTCGAGATTATGTCTCATCACCTTCTTTCATAAAGAACACTGCATTCCCTAAGGAACTAACTTGTTTTGAGACCCAGCTAAGCTAAAATATGGATTAATAAGATAGTATTTATTATTTATGAATTTTGCTGTAGGAATGATTTCAGATTAAATCATCAGAGAAGATTCTAACATTTTTGAAACTTGATAACACATATTTGAGGAAGAAGGAATGCTAATTTTATTTAATATTTAAATTGCATATTAAAATAATTCATAGTTAATTTTTTAGTTAATTAAAACTTTATACTTTGTAACTCTTAAGACTAAAGATAGCATTTTTGTTTCTAGTATGCTTTCTCAACCTGAATTTAATACAGCAATTCTGTTACATGTATTTTTAAGCATAATATATGACCTTTAAACAAAAGTTGTATTATATTCAATCACATTCCAACTAAGTTATTTATTGTTCACTTATACCTTTTTTATGAAATCCAGATAGAAAAACTAAAGAAATAAGAAACCCAAAGCCTTCACATATGTCTCTGCTTCCAGAAAAAGCTTTAAATCCAGACTGTGACATTTAAATACATATCAAAACATAGGTTATTAAAAGATTTAACCCATGACCACAGAAAAAATAATTATTTCAGTTTTGGAGACTAAAAGAAAGACCTTTACTAGGAAAAATTTTTAGCTAAGCATGAAGCTATAACTAAGGAGAAAAGATATTTGCTATGGCTGGATCAAAATTGAGACTAATTATGAAATATAATCTAATTCTAGATGCTGGAAATATAGTAGGGAACAATAAAAACATTTGTTTCTGATATTATAACATATCCAACTTTTTCAGAGTATTCAAAATTCAAAACTGTTCATGTAATTAACATATTTGAATCATCCAATGATGATGCACTTCCTAGATTTAAAAAATTTTAGTATAAAGAACCATTAATGATATGAATTTGCCATTTGTTCCCTATTCATGTTCCAGGACAATAACAAATTTACCTTTTATGTCCATGATACTAACAATCTAATTCACATTTTTTCACATTTTCATAAATTTACTCATACTCCACGATTTTCTTGAAAAATTCTTTCAATATATTCC